TAGTAGCTACTCACGCCAGAGCCGCTAATAAAACCGCCACCATGAATATTAACCATAACCGGTAAGGGTTTCGATGTTCGTGGTTTCTTCGTAGACAAATAACAAAAATATGGATTTGTGTTGAATTATATGTAATGCAACAAAATTAAACCCACCTCTGGCGTGTACACATTCAGATAAAGACAGTCTTCACTGCCGACGATTTGTGTTTGGCGTGTGAATGTATCGCGATGTATGCATACTTCTGAGTCTCTTATCGCGAGACGCTCGCCCGACCAAGAGCCAAACGGTACAGGTGGCTAAGCGATAGAGAAATATGCTACATGAGTGGCATATCAGTAAACAAGCGAGGAGGAGGTAGGGCAGGTATGCGCCAAATAAATGCAATCTATTTAAAGACACTGATTTGTTGTTACCATCGGTGTACCATTAAGGTTTAAATGTATGAAGGTCATTTTCAGATATTTTAGTTGATCAAGCTATGAAGTCTTGCAAATAGCGCTTTGAGGTCGACTTATTTGCCAAAAGAAGGTGAAGTATAGGAACAAGTATGTTGTAATTGACATGTAGGGATGCTATATAGGTAAATAGAGAGTGAAAAATAGATCTTAAGCGCTTTTGGAACCATTAGTAATGTGTTGTTTGGTGTTTTCATCGTATACTACGATTTATTTAAATTTTGATCACTTTTTTATAAAATGTCTGGTGGCGACACGCTCCCGCAGAATGGGGCTGACAGATAGAGAAGATTGGAGGAAATGTCTTAGAGCAAGGCATCAGGGAAATACGGGACATCTCTTGTGCCCTTGTCCCGCATTGTCAATGGTGTAAGCATCTGAGGCTCTCTCGGTATAATACACTGGACGATGTATCGATAGTGAGTGACAACTCCTCAAGGTCTTAGTAACTGAACTCCATTTGGTTTCGCAGAGGACCAAAATTGATGTGCCCGTAGCTTGTTCTCCTACCAGATTACTTAGATTAGATTTTGCAACCTAACCTAACCTAACCTTTACAAAATTTTGCTATATACTCTGGCTAAAGGACAGTGAGTATAAAAACTATTAAAGACCGATCATTACTTTTGAAAGTTAGAATACTTAAACAAGAATACATCCTGAATTTTCCTTATTTGTGGTCGGATTATTTTATACATCGTTGGTGTTAAGACAAGGAATGTCCAAACTTAGCTTGATCTTTAACCAACTTTTCTTAAATATTTCTTAGATGTGGACAGTTCTAGACCTATTTTCAAAAATTGGCGCATAAGAGCGCTTTAACTCTATTTGCAAAACTGTAAGGAAAATAATTTGCAGGACGTTTTTAAAGTCCCTGTGGTCTATTCGGGCCGGTAAGAGATCGGTGATATCAATAGGTGTGTTAAGCGACATTTTACGGGTGGCACAATGTTATGAAACGTTATACATCTGGGGAATGGAGATCCTTCTAAGTCGACTCTCGTCTGGATCGCTATTAGAATCTCTCCAACGCTCAACCTTTCTCCACACATCACGGCTATTTTTTTCTTTTTTTTTAATTAATGACCTCTGATAATTTCCTATTTATATACACTCTACAGCACCACTATTTGAGGCAGAATACTTTCACTCACTTTAAACCTCAAATCGCCTACAGGCGGTAGCGCATACGGCACACCCATAAAGGCGCGTACATGTCGCCCTTTATGTGAGGTCCAATGGCGTCCCACCAGCACACCGCCATGCGGTAAACGGACTTTTAACTTCTCCGATGTACGCGCTGCGATCAATACGTATAACTCACTCAAAGCGAGCAGAAAAAGTATAGYAAACACTGARTATTTCAAAGCCATTTTATTTWATAGTCACACACTGAATCAAACGTTTCTAACACGTTGSTGGTCGGGTAGCGACTGACACTTGCTGGGGTCTTGAAACGCTTTTAAGATAACCGTGCTGCTTGCCAAATTAGGCGCCCGTAGATCCGTTATCATCATCATAGCTGAGAGCGGTATGAAGTAGCCACTCAATGAGCAGTGATTACCCTGTAGGGCGAAATCAAAGTAAGAAGACATCGTTTTAGTTGAGAACTAGTAGAATTTAGGCACATAGTTAGCACTGCTAAGTCGATTAGTTTATGCGTTTTGAAGTGCGCGTTAGTGATCCTCTCATTACAGACGATTTATTTAATATGGATCTATAGATCGTACGCCAGACAAAGGTCGCTCGAAACTTGTTGTAACAAGAGAAAAGTTTTAAAAAGAAATTAGAAATCAATTTAAAAGAAATTTTTGCTTATAAATCTTCTGATCAAATTTGATCAGACTGGTCCATTTAAACTAGGCTCTCTAAATGCATCAATAATCTTTTTTTTAACTAGTCCTTTATTAAGCCGAGGTTGTATTCATTGGGGTAGCAGAAGGTCTGCTGCTCGGAGTTCAAACTCCTTCCTTCAGATAGTCTAAACTCGCTATCAATAGCATCGAGTGTTCTTGTGATATGTGTGTCAGGTCTTCACGGAATCGCAAGAAATTGCAAATCTGATGAGCTATCAAGGAAAGGCACCCCAGAACCGCTATTAGTAGAACGGGAACGGGTCGGCGCCCGCGTATCCTCTTGTGTTCTACTACTAGATAGTAGTTTCGTGGAAGCTGGGCCAGCGCTGGGCCACCATTGGTACATGCGCTGTCGCAAAAGTTTTTTGTTTCAAATTCGGTCAGAAGAAGCATTAAATATGTAGCAGAAGTGTTTTCGGTAGCCTTTTTTTATCAAGATTTTATAAATATATTTGAAAGGCAAAATGGTTGAGGTCGCGAAGTCAACGATAGCTTGAATCATTCGAGTCGTGCCCTCGTTTACTGACTATAATGCCGAAAAAGTTAATGAAAAAGTAATTAAGAAAAAATAATCGTTTTAGAATCAAGGTGACAAAAGAGAACCACAATAACTCTTGCGGATCCAATTTGAGTATTGTTTTGGTTATGAAGCGTGTCAGTGTTAGACTCGTACCAGAAAATCTGAAAGTTCTGCTAAAACGACTACGATTAGAAGCCTTTAGAAATCGTAGACGCTTGGCAACGTAACTATGGACCCCACATTCATCAAACCCATCATTACTGGTGACAAGACGTGGATTTATGAAAATGACATTGAAGCTAAATTCAAGTGTATGGAGAAATGGATTAAGCGTTGGAAACTTTGTGTTGCCTTATATTTACCTAATATTTTGAAGGCGTTAATAGAGATATGCATTAAAATATGTGGACATGTAGTTTTTTTAGCTGGTTCGCATCAAATTTATTTCCTTTAAAAAAATTTCAAATTAGCGAGGTCAATGAGTCGAATCAATAGGAGAAATATGAAATTTAATAATTTAATAATGGATTACGGATGCTGACGTATAAAATTGGAACTAAAATTTTGAAATGCTAGATCGCAGTATGCTTTCTTAAAGATTCTTATGATTATGGGTTTATGATTATCAATCGCAATTAAACGTAATTTATTAGCACAAATAAATCAAATATACTCGTATATATTATATGTGCCTAAATATAATAATTCAATTAAGCTGAAGCTATAAAATAGAATAAATGCTAATTCAGTGATAAAGAGAGCTATTTGAGAAGCTGAGAGTGCATTTCAACTGGGTTACATGTCAGGTGTTAATATTGTTACGATAAGGGATATACAGCCGTTGACAGCTAATTAGAAACGACACCAATTTTGAAGTAAATTATGTTATTTACCAATATATCGCCTATCTATACTGCATCTTCACTTAATTTATTGAAATCTATCTTAAACTTAAACTCTAATGATACAAATTTTGCTTAAAACTTGTTTTTGTTTTGAAGATTTTAACAAAAAACATTTGGAATAAGCGATTTGAGTGCGACAACTAATTAGAAACGAAAATATTTTATCAACAAAAAACAATGATATTACAAAGACCTGCGTATTTTGTTGGTTATCTCTTTTACTTTAATATTGCGTCACATCGATTATGAATTTACGTCATATGACTCTGACAGCGTACCAATGCTCTTTTAACATCACTCAGAGATGTTCTATAGGGCTTAAGTTTGGGCTGGATGATTCCTACTCCAAAACATTGATAATTTTCATTAAAAAACTTTTATGTCAACTTAGACGTAAGAGTTGACAAAGTTTACGCGTCGTTTCTACGAATTTTAGACAAAAGTGGACCAAATAATGTATATGCTTAAGGACATTCAAAACAATTTTTTTGATTGTTTGACCTTATTCGAAGTTTCTTTGGACATCTTTCCAGACCGCCAAAGCTCAAAAATGTAGCTGCCAAGAGTAGGTGTACAGCTGCAGCTTTTCCTCATTAAAAAAACTTGAATAATAAATTTTAATATATTTTAAACCACAACTTGGAAACACACCCTTAACAGAAATAAACAATAATATTAATAAAAATTAGCACCTTGAGAAATTTTAATTCTTTAAACAACTGTTTCTAATTATTTGGGAGAGAAATAAAAGAGCTTTAACTTCAGAACTACAAAGCAGAGTGAATTTAGTAGTAAATAGAGTAACACGACCAATCAAACTATTTTAGGAATATAAATAACGGTATATAAAAAATGTTTATCGTTATACTCATCAGACACCTACAAAAAAGGGAGCGTTTCTAATTAGCTGTCAACGGCTGCATTTATATATTTATATGTACATTGATAAACTAGTACATGGCGCCACCCGGGGCGCTAGATTCAAAAAGTTTACATTCTAGCATTATATGATTATATACATATATGATTATAATAAAAATACATGAATCTAATTAGTTTACTGCTCTTTAATGAGTATTGTTACCATACCGTTATCACATTTTGAATGAATTTTTGAATCAAATGCAACCAATGAAGGGGATACAAAGCTTGCACTTAATGGTAATAAATTACAGTTTATTTATAGTTATCTTTATTATCTTTTGTAACATACACAACAGGTCAATTAGACCTACTATAGTAAAATAATTTGTTTGGTAAATTGGTTGTTTTTATTGAGCATAGTACCCTACAAGGGAGTTACAATGATTATAGCGACGCTCCAACTTTTCGATTCCATTTTTGGAGTAAAATAGGCCTCAGTTTCGCCGAACACTTTTTCATTCGGCGAAAATTTTTCCCATTCCCCGAGCACTCTTTTTTGATCTGAGAACAGACAAACAACAAAAAAAAAAAAAAAAAAAAAAAAAAAAAAAAAAAAAAAAAAACAAAAAAAAAAAAAAAAAAAAAAAAAAAAAAAAAAAAAAAAAAAAAAAAAAAAAAAAAAAAAAAAAAAAAAAAAAAAACACGTTTACTTCGGCTGAATAGAAGCTAATATACCCTTAACAGCTGCATTTCTTCTTCACTTTGTATGGAAGCTATATGCTATATAATATAATTCGATCTGAACAATTTTCTCGGATATTATATTTTTACCTTCAGCAGAAATCCATGTTACATTTCGTGAAGATACCACGTCAAATGCGAAAGTTTTCCATACAAGCACTTGATTCCGATCGTTCACTTTGTATGGCAGCTATATGTTATGGTGGCCCGATATCAGTACTTCAGTGAGCAGCTTCTTGAAGAGAAAATGACATTTGGAAAATTTCAAAATGATATCTTAAAAACTGAGGGAGCAGTTCGTATATATACAGACAGACGGACAGATGGACGGACAGACAGGCAGGCAGGACATGGTTAAATCGACGCAGCCCAACATACTGATCATTAATATATATATTTTATAGGGCCTCCGACGCTTCCCTCTGGGTGTTACAAACTTCATGACAAATTTAATATACCCTGTTCAGGGTATAAAAATAGCTGTTGATGGTCAGTTCTGCAGAATAGGGTGAATGCTGAGGCAAATCGAAGCCCAATTGATGCATTTTTGCCATCGTATTCACAGACTTCGAACACGGTGCATTGGCTTGGTGAAACTGCACTCTTTTTTTTTTCTTCTATTGCTGCCATTTTTTGGCGATTTAGTCCTTCAAACGGTCCAATAACGCTATGTCAATAAAAATTGTTCCATCCGCATCCCAAAATACAGATGCCATAACCAGCCGAGGGTGGCTTTTCTCTACGCCTTGGAGCGGGTTCCTCGTGTGCCGTCCATTCGGTTGTCTGCCAATTGGATATCGGAGTGAAATGATGTAAGTAGCTATGATTCATTTATTGTCCCATATCGCCGCAAAAGATCGGTTTAATTACGCTTGAACATCTTCAAAAACTTCTCCGAGTCATCAACTAGTCGTTGTTTTTGGTCAAAAGTGAGCTCGCGCGGTCTCCACTTTGCACAAGGACTTCTCATACCCAAATATTACTGCGTCACATGATGTACACGTTCCGTTCATATCTCTGGAGTGTCTGCTATCTTGAGCAACTTCACTTTACAGTCATCCAAAATTATTTTGTGGACGTTTTTGATGTTTTCGTCGGTAACAGCCTTTTTAGGGGGTCCTCTAAACTTAGCATACCAATTACCAATTCGTGTTGGTTGATTTTCCCTAGGCAATGCCCTGCCCGCTAACTCGTCATCAAGACTGTAGTTTTTCCCTTCCAAAATTTTCATATTTTATCAACATGGGAAATTCTTTTGAATAAATTTTTTCACACCAACAAAAGCGGCTTCACTCAAAGTCTTATAATTCACAAACTAATGATCCGACAAATTTATAAACACACCTTTTGAAGGTTGGTGCTAACTAAAAACCATATTGATTGAATTCTAGTATCATCTATCGATTTGATGCGTTAAGCTGGGGATTTTTTAAATGTTAGTTGTAGGTGTAAAAGTATGTATGTGAGCATTAATAAAAGCTAAACACATTTTATATGATAAGACGTTTTTTATGTCAGTTAAAGTGCAAATGCGGCTTGTTGCAAAAATTACATTTATATAAGTATATAATAATACATATCAAGCGTCTTGATAAAGCAAATATAAGTACTTACTTACGTACATATGATCATGTAAGAGAGGATCGGAATCTAAGCAATTTTATATACACATACTAAATATAAGTCATACAATGACTGATTTTATATTTTAACTATTATCATGCCACATACTTAATATATATTCCTTGGGTTTTATAAAGCCACCTTACATACAATCACCAATCATAAGGAGTAAGGTCAGCCGAAAGTTCGAAAATCTTTATATTAGGTACAGGGGCTCAGGAAAGTATTGACCTTATGCAACCTATTTTTGCGCAGATTGTCAGGAAAAATGCTCTTAGAATTTCAATTGTATATCCCGTAAAGTGTAGGCACTGTGGTCCACATATTCGGTACTTAGGGGCTGAAACAGGTTTTGTTGGATTTGGGCAATTTTAAAGATATAGTGAATCAAATGGAATTCAAAATTTTGCTATATGTGAAGTTGGCATAGTTTCGCCCATTTTCGCCAGCCTTTATGTGCTAAATTCACACCGGCTCCCATAAAGCACTGTCATACCATCTCAAAGGTTAAATTTAATGTCTGTGGCTACTTACTCGACTTTAATATTTTATTGCGATTTTAGTAGTTTTGAACAGTACAGTTATATGGAGAGTTAGCGCGGTTATCTTTGGTTTACATCCATTGTTGGAGTTCTTACAATATTTCTGGTTTAGGAGATATGTACATTAAGCTAATTAGAGGGCGGGCCGCGGTCAATTTTTCAAAAAATTTTGCTTGTGACAAATTACCGTTCTATATGTTAACTTAGTGCTTAGTTATTTATACGTTTTCGGTTAATGGCTTAAGTTCGACCTCCCTCTTCAACAAACCGATAATTTTCTTTAAGGGGTTAGGGGTAGTCAGAATTATCAAAAAATTGTTATTTTATCTTAGTTAAGTGTAATATCTTAAAAATATTCTCTCAAATTCTCACGTTGATCCGATAACTAGTTATTGAGTTATTCGATAAATAACAAAGAGAGCTCGGGACTTCAATGAGCTAGTGTGAAACTTTAAACGCGTTTTTCTCAAAACTATGTTTTTTGAACTGGTGACAACTGTAAATCGAAAACCGTTCAGTAGATTTTAATGAAATTTATACAGCTTTTAGAATACATAATAAACTCGGGCCTGATATAAGGATTTTTATTTTTTCCCAAAAATGTAGAAAAAAAATTCCTTCGATTAGGCCCAGGATTATCTATTTATAAAACTAAGTTTTTTTTTGCCCGATTGATTTTAGAATCATCCAGATCTTATAGTTGTTACCGCAAGTACCTGTTTTTGGAATTGTGTCAACACAAACAACTATAACTTTGGAAATTATTATTTTTTTTTTTTGAAAYTTTCATGACTTCAAGTCATCACATTCTATAATAATGCCATATTACTACATTTGTAAAAAAACACGATTTAATAGCAAAAAAGAAAAAAAAATACTGGAAATTGTCATTTTTTGGCGCCTTTGTCTACCCCTAACCCCTTAAGTTATCTTATACCTGTAGTTTCGATATGGAGTCAAACATAAGGAGTAAGGGCCTCAAAAACGCCATCTGTTCTTGAAAAGATATATTCCGATTTCAATAATTTTTAAGCAGACCGTTTGCACTTTATTTCAAAATCTTTATTGATGTGTTAGATGTGAAAGACTTCTGTAGAAGTTGAAATTGTATTATGTACATACGAGGTGAGTTCAAAAAGTATGGCGAATTTTGTGTTTTTTTCAAAAATTATTTATTTATTCATGAATACCTATTTGTCTCGTCAAGAGAAGCGTAACGTCGTCCTTTCATGGATCTCTTCAGTTTAGGGAACAAGAAAAAGTCATAGGGCACATTTTGTACTACCGATAAACGTTGCTTCTTTCCAAAGTAGCTTCTCCGTATGCCACAGTCAACATTCGGAATGCATCCGCACACTTAATTTCGTGTTTCACACAAAATTTTATACCGGTTCTTTGATCCATTTTATTGAATAGGTAAAAATCGAAGACGGTCCAAAACACGTGCAAGCAAAGCAGCTGTCAACAATTAAATGAACAAATATGGACGAGCTTGTCGGGATAAGTGAGAGACATGAGTACCAACATAACGCCACAAAAAATTCGWAATTCGAATATACGTAACCCGCGAAAATTCAAAATTCGCGATACTTTTTGAACACACCTCGTACATGCGAATTAGGCGTGGTTTTAATCCGAACTCGCGCCCATGTCTTGCCTACTTAAGATTGAAAAGGTTAGTTCAATTTGGATGAGTTTTGGCTGATATATGATATTTCGACTATAAAGTTTCACTTAAAATTGCTATAGGCAGGTCATGGGTTGGGTTTTTAAAACAAAATTTTCTTAACAAGTCAAGAAAACTGATAGGTATATAAAAGCTCAAAGTACAAAAATTTTCAATGTTGATGTTGATTGATCGGTTGTAACTGGGACAATCAAAGTTGACGTTCAATGTGTTTTTCCACTTCTTGTCTAAAAATTATTTTTTTTTGCATATAATTATCAGTGTATTTGTTTTTACTTGAGTTTTTTTAGTTTATATTTCAGAATAGATTAGTCAATTTTCCTATATTTGTAGGTAATGCTTTAGTTATGTTTAGGTTATTCTATGCGAAGAAATAGCTATAACTAATAATTTACTAGAGCAGTCGCTTAGTTTTGGGTACATACAAAAATATCCAAATTTCCCAGATGGAAACAGACATGCAGAGTTTTTGAGAATAGCAGCATAGTGTCAAGTTTTTAGTTAAAGGAGGAGTTACTTATCCAAACTATTGATTAAGTTCATAATAATCATAATCATAATCATAATAATTATAGGATTTGGTGGTCTTCTTTTCTAGAAAAAAAAAATCAAAAATGTGCATTCGAAGTATATTTCGATTAACCTCTATCAATCGCCTGTAGCGTTACTAAGGAAGACTAAAACCCTTAATTAATGCCCCATGGATATTACATAAATCCCTTTACGATTTATAATAAAACACCAAAAGAGTATATATCACTATAAAAACTAACGCACTTTACTGTTGATTTACAAAATTAAAAAAAAAAAAAAGTTATTAATCTCATTTACATTAAAATATGTACATACATATGTTATACTGGTTTTACAGATTTCGAAATTATCTTATACGAAGACTTTTCGCTGCTATATTTACACTTAATTATTATTATTTATTTCTTAGTAGAAATTTTACTTCACAATTCGTCTCTTGGACTTTCCTTGCGTTCCTCGGCTGGAATGTGGGCTTTAAGCTTATGCCAGAAATTCACGCGATCGGCATAAATGTCACGTTCCATTTGTAGAATGGTGAACTCCTCGGGTGTTTTGTGACCCAAGCGGGCATAGTTTACCGGATAGCCAGTTGCCGGGTCCCAGTGTGTGAGTTTTGAGTTAGCAGGAGTAGGGTTGCTGTTTCAGGTCGTGAGGAAGAATTTGAATATGTTTATGAAATGGAACTTTATAAAATTTATAATATTATATACAGGCTGGCGCACGCATCGTACTACAAAAACAAATCGTAATACATTTTTTTGTGTGAGCAAACGACTTTTTTTTGGCAGGTTATTATTTAAAATTAAACAAAAAATGAGTACTTGGGTTACCTAAAAGAGGGTTTGGATAGTGCAGAGGTATCATGCTTTGCACTCCGTCATTTCCGTCAAAAGTTCAAACGGGACTTTGGCGGCACTTCGAGTAGATAGACCATTATGAGGTTGGTAAACATGTTTACCGAATCTGGAAGTGTCGCAAGAAGGCCGTACCATCGAGATCCGTACGTTCGTGTTCAAAAAACCATCGCCACTGTTGCATCGTCAATTCAGGCAAATCCAAGAGTGGAATTTGGAGTTAGCAGACGGTCATTACAACTGATAATTCATTACAAATTAAACCTGCTTCCGAACAAGGTTGAAAGAACAAGCAGGTTAAACCCTCTAGATTTGCCTATTCACAAAAATAATCAAAAGACGGAACTCTACGCAGAATAAGTCACAATGTGGTGTGCAGTTTCATCGAGGTATACTCGTACTGTCAGGCCATAGTTCTTTGAAAAAAACGATGTAACAGTAACTGTCAATGAACACCGCTATTTAAAGATGTTGAAAGAGTAAAAACAAGTTCACCTGACCTGATGGCTCCAGACTTTTTTAAAGTGTTATGTCAAAGAATAGGTGTACAAAACAAAATCCAGAAATCTGGGGCCAAGGACATTGAAAATCGTAATCATAAAGCTTCAATAGATTTGCAGGAGTAGAGAACCTTGTCGATGTTGCACTATCCATTGACATTGGATCGGTTTCGGCAAGGTTTTTCTTCTACTATAGTAATAATTCAGAAAAATGATAAAGTGAACTACTGAAGTGAGAACCGAAGGCTGGCAACTGTCATCATCTCTCTCTGAATGGATATTATGACGAGGAAAAGAATCTTCGAGCTTAAACAATACTCGTACGAATGAAAATTACAGATACAATTAACTTGTAAAAGCATTAATTAACTCACAAAGCGATATATGTATATGACGATAACTTCTGAAAATCCACAACCTTTAAACTCACCCTTCCTTTGCGAAATTAACCCACATATCGAGCATGGCTTCGCGCAGATCTCTATCAGATTTTGTCGGTGACGCACTCACAAATAACTCTAGAGCTACAGGGAATAGGTATTGTAGCTCTTCAGCGTGACAAGCACCTTGAGAGAAAATATAATTTAAGTTTTTATATTAACAATACTTTTAATGACAAAAGCAAATCATTTTATCGCATTATTACCATAATAATCCTCTCTGCCGCCTTTGAAGAGCTCAGAGAAACTTGCTGGACTGCGATGTTCGAAAAGGTACACATAAAACGGAGGCATTTTCACAGATTTTTCGGCTAGCACGCGCTGGCGTAAGTACTCATCGATACCCGCAATGAACCAGCCATCTGAGATAAGCTAACAAATAAGAAATACTCGAGGAGATTACATGAGCATGCAATAATTCAAATAATGGCTTACATCAGTTATATTTTGGTGATTGTATTTGTCATAGTTATGCCCATCTTTGAAGTAGAACTCTACAATTTTGCGCGTCATCTCCTCACGGACTTCTGGTGCATGGTGATCGTATTGCAGTTGAATTGGTAGTATCCAATCGAAATTTTGTTTATAATCATCTAAAAGACCAGGCACGTTAAGCAGTGGAGCAGTCTTAAGTAGACCTTCCTCGGAGGTGGCACCAATCATTATAGGTAGTGAGAAACCGTGCGGTATTTCAACTTCGCGTGGTGGAATAGTGAGAAACGCACCCTCATGTGGTGGCTCCACAACCGGTTGATATGGCACCATGGGATCAAAGTCCCATTCCTTAGAAATTAAGTGGATGAATCGTAATTCAAATTCGGTTATGCTATTTTAATGGAATGCGCAAACTCACGAACAACTGGTAGACGGTAGCAACTACTTTTTCGGCGCTTGCGCCACGCAAGCACTTCAAGAGTTTCGGCCACTTTGCTTGGTCATCACAACCTACTAACTTTGCGGCTTGCCGTGTGCGCCTAGCCGAAATACCCTTGTACTGTGGTTGCGCCCACGGGTTGTAGTATGTGCCCGATTGTATAATGGCCTTGTGGAAGAGACCTATAAAATAGGCAGTTCAAAATTCCTCGAACGTATTCACGTAAGTATTTTAAATTAGTAATACCCTTAGAAGAGTTCGAGAGCATATGGTATGTAACACTGGCGCCACCTGCGCTATTACCGAATATCGTTACACTTTGTGGATCTCCACCAAAAGCTGCGATATTTCTTTGTACCCAACGTAAAATCTCCACTTGATCTTTCAAACCGAAATTACCGGGACAATCGAGCGTTTCAGTACTCAGAAAACCGAGTGGGCCGACACGATAGTTGCCGATTACCAAAATAACATCGCGATCGAGTAAGAACTCCGGTCCATAAAAGCTGCTAACGCCGGAACCACATTGAAAACCGCCACCGTGAAAATAGATCATGACAGGCAAGGCACTAGTCTGATTGTGCTCCTTTGAAGAGTACAAAGGTCTCTCAATATCGTACATATGTAGTGTTTTTGAAGTTGTTAGCTTACCTCCGGCGTATACACATTTAGATATAGACAATCCTCACTACCTTCGATTTCCATATCACGACGATAAGGATCACGTTGCATACAAATTGGTGAATCCTTAATGACATGCTTCTCTCCAGCCCATGCGCCATACGGTACCGGTGGCTGTATTAAATTGTTTTATAATTATTGTTATATTTAATTATAACTTTAAGTGTTTTGTGTGTTATGCGAGAGGAAACAAACGGCTTAAACCTTTCGCGCTTGTAACGATTCATTTCACGAATACTAATGAAGTAGGAATGATTTTATTTTTTATTTTTAATACGGCACTTTCGAAGCTTAAGCAAATTAAATAATGCTTGTATTTGATCCATAAATACATGGATATTGCGGAAACTGATCGGAATTAACACCCGCCTTAATACAAATACATAAAATTGGTAGCACTTGATCTGTCTTTCTTACGGTTCTGGGGTTCTTTTTTTTGACAGATCACGCGTGAGTCGTGTCAAGCTATCGAGTTATTTTTGTTCAGTATTGTTTGGTATTTCATCATACAAATCGTTTAACTTTATTCACGTTCTGTGAAGAATGTGTTTCGCGCGTTTCGCTCAACTTATGGTCAACACAATCAGCATACTGAGCGTACTATTCGCAACACCATCACCCATCTTGAGATCCAGCATTCATTATAGGATAATATTCAACCGAATAGACTACGTCCAGTAAGCAGTGATGAAAATATAGCAGCAAAAGCTAAGTGTGTACACGAAGACCGTTGAGTCGAATTTGGGACGAAGAGCAACCTGAAGAATGCAATCCATCGGCCCATATTTCTTCAAAAATAATATCGGCGAGAACACAATCGCTCCTTGATAACCGATCATTTCGTGTCTGAAATTGGAGTTCGTGATCTCGGCGACATTTGGTTTCAAAAAGATGGCACCACTTCCCGCTCATCGCGTCAATCAATGGATTTATTAAGGGAACACTTCGGTGAGCAGATAATTTCAAGTTTTGAGACAGTCGATGGACCACCAAGATTATGTAATATCACACCGTTAGACTTTTCCCTGTGGGGATATGTAAAGCCAGAGATCTATGCTTCGACTCAGGCCTTCAAGCAAAATATCGCTCGTGTCATTCGCCAGTTACCAGTCGAAATGCTCGAACGAGTAATGGAAAATTTGATTAAATTGATGGTCCATCTGCGACGTAGTCGCGACCAACATTTGAAAAAGATAATCTTCAAAAAATAAACTAAATAAAAAAAGGATTTCGAGAAGCATAGGTAGAAGAACTAAGCAGATCAGAGGATTTATAATATACATTTTGCTGTTTTTTCCATAAATGTATTATCTATGGAATGAATGGATTATTTGCACACTTTTTATCTCTATATTATTGCGGAAAATAATGGCAAACAAACAAACAAAAAAAAAAATAATAATAATAACTGGGGCACATGCATTAAATTTTATGTAAATGGGTTGTTTTATAATCTCTGTACGATATCGTAAATAAGAGTCTATCATTTACATAATGGGCTGACTTATTTACATATAGACAGCGGTATCATTTCGAAAAAAATAAAGTTAAAAGCCTCAGTAATTGGCGTAATGAATAATTTTGCATATATTAACATTGAATAAACTTCGAAGAATTAACTAGAATGAAATATATTTGCAAACAATAATAAAGAGATATTAGAGAAATTTTGGTTCGATTGAATAACTGAAAAATTGTCAGCGATTTTAACATTTTTTTTAAATTAATTCGAAGAAAAAAAAAAATTAAGTAATAAATAAAAAATGAAATCGTAGCTAGAATTTCTTGCATTGGCAACACCAGTTATGTAAATTTAATTTTCTCTATTGCTATAATGTGGTAATAATTAACATTAACAAGTAGACTTGATGTAGCTGCTTTCATAATTTGCATTCGTTGTTTGAATATACTGCTTTTGTGCGTTTAGGAGTTAATGTATTAACTGTAAATGTATTAAGCGTAATACGTTTGCTTTCATTTTCATTCTAAAGAGAAGTGCGGAACGTAAAAGATATTGGTTGCTTAATGTGTTCAGGAAATAAATTATGTAGATTGTAATTAGAAATAAGAAATTTATCTGAAATATGCGTAAAACAATTGTGGATCTTGTGTGGAACGAACAAAATATTGGCCTTAATGTGTTTAGGAAATAAATTATATAGAAAATTTAATTAGAAATAAGAAATCTCTCTGAAACATATGTCTGCACATATGTGGATCGTTGTTGAATGAATTTGAACAAATTGCTATTCGAAAAAAGATATTGCTGCATTTAAGATGTCTTACCACCACAAAAAATTAGAAATAATAATTTATGTGTAAAACAAATGTGGATCGTGTGTGGAACGTATATTGAACAAAAAATATTTGACAACATTATAACTCAACTCAAGATGTCTTACCACTTTAGAAAATCCGTGAAAGTGTGGAACATATTTCATATGTGGATAAGATTATGTAGAATAATAATTAATTAGAAATATAAAATCTCCAAGAAATATGTACAGAACATATGTGGATTGTATGTAGGACGTACATATGTAAAATAAACTGAAGTTTGACGAAAATATAACTGAATTTAAGATAGCTTACCATTACTGAAAATCCATAAAAGTGTGGCATATATGTCACATATGGATCGCATATGGAAAAAATTTATATATTAAAAATAGATAGAATTTATGTATAAAAATTAATTAGAATTATAAAATCTCCAAGAAACATGTACAGAACATATGTAGAACGTATGTAAAACAAGTTAGTATTTTACAAAATAAGAATAAACGAAAACTACAAAAAATTTACGTAGCTGCGGAACATATATCATATGTGTATCGCTTGTGGAACATATTGATATTTTACAAATTTTAGAAATTAATTAGAAATATATGCGGAATATATGTGGAACGTAAGTAAGACAATTTGATATTTAAATAAAAAAAATAAACTAGGCGTACAAGACTACAAAATATTTGAATATTTGTAGAAATTCAAAATATGTGCTGCAAAACCAACTAGAAAATAAAGACAATATATGTGACCTGGTCTACGAAAAGGGAGCTAAAGTGCGAAAACTAGTTTATGACTTTTTGGATTCTATCACGTGAAAAAGCATCTCATCTTCCATCCGAATCAACTAAGATTTTTTGACACCTAAGCCTCCTTTCCGTAGACCAGGTCACATATGTGCATGTGTAGATGTGTAGAGGAAATAGAGAAATAGCCGTGGCGCGTAATATTAGGTTGTCAAAAAAGGCTTGCGGTATTTTTGCGGTATTTTTATTGAATTTTCAATTGTTCATAAAATTTTTGTTTGATGTCTCATGCCCAGCTCTTGACCGATGCTACTTCTGCTACTATGCCGGTCTCTTTCGATACTGCACAAATTTTATTGGCGGCTTGAGATGCATTTTTGCCTCTATCATAGTAGTACTGTAAAATATGCCGTATTTTCTCTTTATTTTGCTCCATGCTTGCAGCGCTATAACTCACGAACGACTTAAAAGAATCGACAATCAATCAAACACGTGTTAGCGCGTGAAATGAGCTTTCCAAAAAGGTATAGCATGACCCGATGCGACGAATAAAACTAGAACTACGCGCTCTCAGCGCCAACTAGTGAAAATACTGCAAGACTTTTTTGACAACCTAATATTAATAAGTGTAATTAAATGTAAGAATACTAATGAATGAAATCTGCACTCCACCTCTTTACCGTTCGAATGGGTCAACAGTAATATCGTACCACAATAGTCTCTTTCTCAATTAGTTATTACCTCATTTTAAGATTACTTGCATCATTTGATTTTAGCCATACAGCATGTACTATATGTGTTACACGAATGAGTGTGGGAATCACGTGGCTAATGCTTACAGATTTATTGAGTAATAAAAAAAAAATAATGTCACATAAATTACATAAATGTGTAAACTTGGATGAAATGTGACTCTTTATAGGAATTGTTTTCAATCTTATCGGCCACACCTTTATAAAGCATAAATTTTCCATTAAAAGGGAAAATAAAAAGTACCGTCATTCGATGTAAATATTACAAAATATAATTCAAACGTTACTGTACCGGTAATGCTGATTTTCTGGACTGACGTTTGCGTATATTTGATCTGTATGTATGTAAGTACTTGTGCTGATGCCACTGCAAGCCTTCACTATAATTTCTAGTTAGTAATCTAATGCAAAATTATTCGCATTAAAATTGCATTTAGCAAAACAAGGGAATTGCACTAATTAAAACGAAATGCAAGAGTGAAAGTCGTAATCCCTCTTAACCTCATAACTGAGCGAAACGAACTCATTATTTTACGTAGTTATTATTCTGACTGGTGTCACAGAAAATATAGCATAGGCGGCAAAAAAAAAATTGTGAAAAACTTGAACTCGCCTAAATTCGTTTTGCTCAAAAAGATAAGGAAATTTCCGAGGCTTAATAAAATGTATCAACCTAAATATTAACGGCAAGAGGAGTTGAGTCGATTTAGCCAAGCCGATGAAAATCAAGTTCTAGTATGGAAAACTTTTTTATGCCACTAAATATCTACATGAAGTTTGGTATAGGTTATTGTGTAAGGCAGCATCTTTTGCTATAATCTCGCAAGTGATATACAGCAATATCGAGTAAACCCGCAGAAGGAAATAATCCAATATGATTATGTCTTTCCGAAGTATTAAGGTATCGAAATTCACCATGGACTCATTATATTGAGTGTTTAGGATCTACTATATTCGAGAGAAAAGTTCTGCGAAAGCTTTATGCTCCTTTCCGCATCACTGACAACGACGAATATCGCAGTCGATACAACGATGAGCTATATGAGATATACGACGACATTGACATAGTTCAGCGGCAACGCTGGCTAGGTCATGTCGCCCGTATGGATGAAAACACTTCAGCTCCGTGAGTATTCGACACAGTATTCGCCGGGGGAAGCAGAGGAAGATCTCTACTCCACTGGAAAGACCAGATTGAGAAGGACCTGGCTACACTTGGAATCTCCAATTGGCGCCAAACAGCGAAATGAAAGAACGACTGGCGCGCTGTTGTAAACTCGGCTATAACCGCGTATGCAGTATTTACAGTAATAAAGAAGAATGTTAAACCGTTAAATATTGAACTTTTGAGAGTCATATAGTGTTATAAGACCCTACGTTGCAAAATTAAAGAGTCCTCGGAAGCAAACAATTTAAAATGTAATGTTTCTAAGATATTTTACAAATTATATATTCAGGTTTTTTTTAAATCTAGCTTTATTTGTGTTTCGAATGAACTTTCCAAACCATGACTGAAGTATATGCAATTTTTAGGAAACGAGAAAGGACTGAATCAAGTTATCATGCGAAATGGGCCGAAGATCAAGCTGACTGGAGGTCCTTAAATTGCGCTGTCCCGAACACAGCTAACGAATACCGGGCGCCCTCTGTAATAAGATGCTGTTTTTTGCGTAGAGACTGCTGTGCGCAAGCGGAAATACTTTCTAGAATAACCGTATGACACAAAGCACACAAATTTAAACGTTTTAAAGGACTTCGGACATGCTGCAAAAAAGCCAGAAGCTGCGTTAGTTGTCCACAGAAAAGCTAGTAAAGAGCTCGTGAACAGTTAGCTCGTTCTAGGTGCAAAGGCTAGCCATTTTGGCAAGGGAGTTGAATCTTAGGCTGGCTACAGGAAGGCAACAATACCAACGGCTATCAATGAGGAACTTACGAAGAAGTTTCGATAATCCATTGATTGCACGGAAACAGACTTGCCTCATTTTAAGCTTGAATTGACAGCAGAGGTAGCAAAGCGACATAGGTCACTGAAGAAGTTAAGCCGTCAGCCAAAAGACCGAAGGCAAAAAACATTTTCGAATATTTTTAAGGAGTTTAAAAACATTATAAGAAAAAATTCTAATTTTTTTTTACAAATTTGGGTTCATTTTATTTAAGCTTCTGCAATGACCTTTATTACACATTGAATCATTCCATAGAAAACTAGAAATCAAAACTTTCATTCCTTATCTACATATACATATATATGTATATACCCATACTCATACGTGGGCATATGCAAATGAGGACCACTCTAAGGTACTGGCACGTGCTTATAAATTACTCACTATTCCGTAGTTTTGCACTTGCTTGTTTTTGTTGCAACAGCGTAAACACAAGCTTTGGACTGTCGAATATGTAAATTTGTTTCAATGTTTTTTTTTTCTTTAAATCCGCTAATTAAATACAAACAGCTTGCTAAATTAATTTATGTATTCCATATTTGCGCATGCCTATCGTACAACGAACTGTGTAAGCAAAAAATATTAAAACTACTAGAAATTGTTGTAGTTATTGTTGTTGGTGTGATTTCCCACTGCAATGAGATAGCAGAAAATATGTCTCTGGCACTTGCTTGGGAGGCCCTTAAACGACCGAGCATCTATTTGCTGTGGGCAATTTTTTTCGGGTAGACCGTTATTAAAGTGGCCTGTCAAGCGTAACAACACGACAACAACACAAAAAACGCGCGTGTGCGCAACTCACTGATTGAAGCATTGGAAAAAACCGGATTGCAAATTTCTAACAAAATTTTATGGCACCAAAAAACAAAAAAAAAAAAAAAAACAACAAACATGAAAAATTACTAAATAATATTTCGCCACTTCATTAGCATTTGGAAATCGAGGCAAAAGTTCGCAGTTTGCAATTAACTTTTGTTTTAATTAGGTAATTAATTAATTATTTTTGTTTTGTCGCCTTTTTTATTTCACTATCACATATACACACGCACCTTGAAGCGCAATTCGTCCACTGGCGGTAGCGCATACGGCACGCCCATAAAGGCGCGCATGTGTCGGCCACTGTGCGAGGTACGATGGCGGCCGACAAGGACTCCGCCATGTGACAGCTCCACCTTCAGCACATCCGCCGTGCGCGCCGCGCTCGTGTCGAAACGAAGACAGAGCGTCAGCAGAAATAACGCGACGGTTAAAGTTGCGACGCCGAATAAACCGTTGACGACGCATGTGCGACGCTGTCGGCGCGTTGGCAGCTCTTTTGCCAATTGACGATCGTTTGTATCGAACATTTCTGCGCGTACTGAAACGATCGAGACGATTGTTGCCGATTTTAAGCATTTCTCAAGTTTGGTTAAAAGTCACTACAGCGACAGTATCAAAGCTTGGCTTGGAGGTGTTTGTGTGTGGCATATGTATGTATGTATGTATAGCCGTACTCGGTTTGGAATAACTGAGATTATTCGGTCGCTGGGTTTTTAAGGCGACCAGATTAAGGGGTTACATGGGTTTCCTCGGGTAAATTAATTTAATTTTTTTTCAAATAAAAATGAAATAGTTTATTATAATTTTTTATTGCTACAAGCATGAGATTTTTAAAAGTAAATTCTGAAGTTTTTGGAAAAAAATATTTTAAATTCGGCCATGGCGGCACCATTACCGGAGACCCCTTGGAGGAAATGATGAGATTGCGTTGGCAGGATAACTCTTTATAGGATCATCTAAAGTGAAAAATACGTGTTTTAGTTAAAACCTTAACTTAAAACTTGGACCAAGGAAAAAAAACTGATAAGTGGATTTTTGGCAGACTTTTTACAAAAAAATTAAAATTTTCCGAATTTTTTTTTTAAATAGTTGCAAGTCCAAGTGTTTAAGAATTATACCTCAAGGACATGTGTAAAATTTCATGAAGATCGGTTGAGTAGTTCTCGAGGAATCACAGTTTCGAGAAAAACGCGTTTCAAGACGGCGCACTTGGCCTAGCTAGCCTCGAGCGCATAAGTTCTCAAGGCTGTATCTCTGAAACCATGTCAAATTGAAAGGCTTTCTAAATAAGCGTTTAATTCCGATCGCTTCCTCCACCACCGGTTCCGATAAATTAACAGCTTCTTGGGAGGAAAACAACGGATACAACATTTCAGAACGATATCTCAAAAACCGACAGGAATTTCCGCGTATATGCAGAGAGACTGAAAGACGGACATGAATAAATTGACTCAGCTCGCCTCTCTAATCATATCATATATATGTTTTATAGGGTCTCCGACGTTTACTTCTGGGTGTTACATTTCGGATTTAGTGGGCATCAATACTTGAGTTTTAATTTCACAACTTTGAAAACTGATTTGTGACAATCGTAATCAGTTAATAATTAAGAGAGGGCAGGGAAAAAAATTTGTAAAATCTACTTGTGCAATTATTACTTATTAGTATTATAAATGCTTGTAGAATGCACAAAAAGGAAAGTAAGAAAACAGGCGCTAAATACTCGTGCTTCATATTTTATTAAAATGAGGTGAACTGACATCTGATTGATTTATACTAATGAGTATTTTTATCATATGATATTCTGAGATTGTAGGCTTTTACATTTATAATATGAAATTCCGGTTTTCTGTGCTTTTTTCTGATGAAAAAAGTATTTTTAAATTTTTATTTGTACAGGCCTGGCATACTAAATTCTATGAACCGTCATTACTTATTGATCATCATTTTATAGTCTGGTGTTAAATGGTGATACGTGCAGTGTGTAAGTAATAATTATTTACGAAAAGTATATAAAGCAATTTTTAAATATATTTATATATTTATAGGTTGGTGAAACTGCCTTATAATGGATAACAGTATTTAATGTAATGTAATAAATTGATACGAAAAAAGTGATCCACGAATACGTCTATTGATATATGAGATAGGATTTCTCTGTGAATAAAGTTAACTCTATCAATGATCAAAAAGTATTTTTTTGTTTACTGTATGGGCAGATCAGAATCATTGGTCCATATTTCTACAAAAATTAAGCCGAGGCTAATTTTATAGGCTATGGGGTACGATTTTGAGCTATAATTAGTGACTTCTCTCTTGCATGAATTGGAGGTTGTTGATGTGAACGACCTTTAGTGCCATTAAAATGGCGCTACATACCATACAGCCTGCGAAACAGTCTTAATAGATTTAAAGGAAATTTTTGCTGGTTAATTTTTCCTCTCTTTTTTTTTTTTGAATTCACATATATAACCACAATGAATTTTCTAGTGCCATCACATTATTAAATTTCTGTTTAAGATTACTGAAGAAAAATTATATAAATTTAAAAAAATGTTGAACAAGGTCAAGAAAGCATTTCAGTAAAGGAATGTGATTTCAAAAGCCTATGGTTTCAGGATCTTGAAGGACCTCTCCGAGCCGTTCGATACCAAACAAGATTTCAGACAAAGCGACTTCCTATCATTCGATTTCTTCAATGTAAATAAATAAATAGAGAAGGTACCATCTTCTAGAAGAGTGCACAGATTCCGATGATATTGATGTCAACAAAGAAGCAAAGCAAATAGGTCTGGTAGTAAACGAGGACAAGACGAAATATCTCTTATTACTAAACAAATGGTCGTCGTATTCGCGACTTGGCTCCCACGTCACTGTTGACAGTCATAACTTCGAAGGCATTGATAATTTTGATGGTCTTGGGATCATCACTAAAAATTTTCAATTGACGACAAACAGCAAAAAAGAAGATCAACTGGCGGGCTGTGTATAACCACATATTCCGAAATGAATTCGCACAGAAAACAGCACACATATTGGACCTAATTTCTCTACTGAAACTAGATATACTACGTAGTCCATTCCTCCTTTTTTTTGCAGTGTTTCTCTTTTTATTTGTAATTACGATGATTGCCAGTTTTGATTGGCATTTGCATCTTAGTATTCATTCAATTGCGTTAATAATTTCAAAGGAAAACGAAATTTGAAATTTGAGAAATAAGGAAGAGCGAAACAAACAAAATTCCATAAATCATAAGAGGTTATATGTTTGTAAAACTTTCAAGCTTTTTATGCGGTTAAGTGCTGGAAAAAAGTAACGGTAGATGGTACAGTTGCAATAAGAGTTGGCGACGTCTCTTTGCTAGCTTACCTAGACATATTTGGCTTGCGACCAATAAGGCATTGCAAAAGTCAACTTGAGAGGTTAAAATTAAATTCGTACTGTATGAATAGCTGATTCAAAATATTTTTAGAAAAACACTAAAAAAATGGTATGTGATGACTGTGCCCACAATAAATTTAAATAAAAATGGAAGAAGATTTTAGTTGCAACTTTTGATTTATAGAGCGAGCTTATTTGTGTTAAAGCTGCAGTTCGACACTTTTTGTACAAAATTATTTTATGCCTTAACAATATATCAAATAATTCAAATAGCCGGTAATTAAGTGGTAGTTTGTATTTTTTTTTAGTACGACCTTATCTACTTCCAACTTATATCTCTCCCACAGAACCACCGGATTAAATATTACTTCATGGTGGAGAGAAAGACTTTAACCATCTCTTAACTATCATATAGACATACTGACGCCTAATAAACTATATATGACTTAGTTTTGTCAAAATTAAAGCTGACTCTTCGCTGACTGCTTTCCATTTATCAGCGACCCGACACATGAGTGCTCTCAAACTTTCCATCGAAAAAAGGAAATGTGTCTGCTTTAACCTTTTCGTACTTGGAGCTATTTATTGCGGAGTACTACCCGGATTTTTTTTTCTTACCCTGTACATTTTTATGCAGCATCGATTAAATTAGCTCAGTATTAAAGTGTTTAGACTACCATAAATATTTTAAAGATTGAGGTTAAGCAAGCTTACGACCTTAACAAAAATTAAGTAGGAATAATCCAAGAGTCTACAATTTGTTTGATAAAGCATCAAATGTTATTTTTAAGGCGTCAATCGTCTCGCAGATAAGATGCGTTGGCAAGCGATTTCATATAACGCCAAAAATAATAGTTCAGCGCTGTAAACTCACATGATTTTCACGACGTGACAAAATTCGCTTCAATAGATTGATTGTTTCGTTGGTTGTTTGACATGTAGCGACCGTTAGGATCACAAAAACAACCGCCAAACCAGTTAAAAAGTTATTCATCTATAGTGTGTCACATTAACTGATACTGTACGGCTTCATATTTGAAGAAATGTGGTCCAAAGAATGCCTTTGCCCATACAGCACACCAAAAAGTAACTTTTCGAGGATATAACTGCGTTTCAATAAGGGCAAGTCGATTATAATCACTTGAAATGCGACAATTTTTTAAGCTCGATATCCATTCAACTAAAAGTGAGCTTCATGCTGAAGTAACATCTTTGCATGTAAAAACCGTGATCGGTGGGTATCTCATTTTGGCTCTATTTATCGAACGTGCGGCGCGCTTGAAGGCCGTTCGGATTCAATTCTGGCACGTGTTGCATTTTGTAAGCTCACAAACCAAGTTGCTTCCACAAAATTCTCCATAAAGTGGATGGGCACAGCTTCAACTGTTGCGCGATGGCGGATGGACTCATTCTTCTTCGATATTCTGTTGCACAGCAATAATAGAGTAAATATGGTGCGTAACCGATCCATGGTTGTTCGAATTACGGATTCTGCAGGGTGATTATGTCAATCGTATGTTAGGCGCAGCCCGAAACATTACTTTGGTTATAAATTTGTAGAATTTACAAATATTGTTCCGGAATGAATCTGTTCATTATGAACTGACGGGTCAAACTGATTATAAATCAAGTAACAGCATTATTATCATTGGCCTCAACACCCGCGCCGTTAGTTCTGCTTTCTCCAGACTGGACAAGGAAGCAACACAAATGGGTCTGGCAGTGAACGAGGGCAAGACGAAATATCTCCTGTCATCAAACAAACAGTCGTCGCACTCGCGACTTGGCACTCACGTCACTGTTGACAGTCATAACTTTGAAGTTGTAGATAATTTCGTCTATCTTGGAACCAGCGTAAACACCACCAACAATGTCAGCCTAGAAATCCAACGCAGGATAACTCTTGCCAACAGGTGCTACTTCGGACTGAGTAGGCAATTGAGAAGCAAAGTCCTCTCTCGACAAACAAAAACCAAACTCTATAAGTCACTCATAATACCCGTCCTGCTATATGGTGCAGAGGCTTGGACGATGACAACAACTGATGAGTCGACGTTGACATAGTTCAGCGAATTAAAAGACAGCGGCTACGCTGGBTAGGTCATGTTGTCCGGATGGACGAAAACGCTCCAGCTCTGAAAGTAT